GAATATTTAAGTGAAAGGTCTCATTTAATGTGTGTCAATTAATAATTAGTATAATTGCAAAGTAATTACTTTGGACAAATGTATAAGTTACATATGTTTACTACGTGCATAAATTCAACAATTATTTCAAAATGTCAAACTTTATTATTTGAGTCAAACCATGTAAATTCACATTAGATTTGGTATATGTAAAATGCGGCATTTAGACTGAGACAATGAGCAATAAAAAACTGAAATATTATGTTCATCCCACCCCCACCCCCCTCCCCCCTCCCCTCACCTTAATCTTAGTATCCCCAGATAACAATCGTATGTAGGATATACAACTACCTGCAAGGTATTATATGTGACTGCATACTGGAAGCCAGTATCATATACAGTATAATATATATATATATATATATATATATATATATATATACTGAAGACTATATTCAAAAAAATAGTCGATGAGTTGACGTAAGGTAGAAGAGCGCTCAATACCATAATAAGTAGAGCGGAATTAATTCAGTCAAGGTTTGAATGTTTGCGTCGCTACTCTGAGTTTCACGCTTTACGCGATCATCATATATATATATATATATATATATATATATATATATATATATATATATATATATATATATATATATATATATATATACATTGTATTACTACTTTAGGAAGAATTTCAGGCCTTGCTATGGAAGGATTGGTGTGCCGGGAAGTTTGTTGCCAGGTGTTCCAATCTTGGCATTGACAGCTGCAGCATGAACTCAGACAAAGAAGTTGCATCAACTCAGAGAAAGAAAAAAATTGCATCAACTCAGAGAAAGAAAGAAATTACATCAACAAAATAAAGAATATATTGTCATTGATAAGTAATGATCTATTCTTACAATTTCGATATTCTTATATGAAAATTTGGTGTGTTAATTAATGAAGATACTGTAAAAAAAGTAACAGCTTTATGGTGCATCCATGCTGTGCTTTAATATTGCAGTGGTGTAGGAAATGGAGGTGTGTGGGGGTTACTATAGCGTGCTTGTGTGTGGAGGCCGGAGGCTCCAGGAGTTCCCGACAAGGAATATCAGGTTCCCAGACAAGGAATATCAGGTTCCCCTACAAGGAATATCATGTTCCCAACAGGGGGCTATAATCTTTCAGACAGTAAAATTATTGTTTTGTATGTTCAACTTATACTCACACATGAAAATGTTTAATTTTTTTGCTCTAAAAAGTGCATAACTTATTGTCTGTAACAGTGCATTTACCGGCACTACAAAACATGGTCATTCCAAAACATAATTCTTCCCAGTACATTGCACTTCCCTGATTGGGGAGGGGCTAGAATGTCCACATAGGGGAGCTACAGCCACCCACTCCCTATACCTAACCCTTGCTCCGCCCCTGCCTTGCCCAATTTCTCTTCAAAAGTTTACAAATTATAAATTTGGTGCTGTTGACATGAAGTGCTCCTCAATTTTAAATTTCAGGACTTTCCTCCTGTGCCTATGGTGACTAATTAAACCTTGAAATCTAGCACTATAAAAATAATGCCAACTGTATGTAATAGATTCAGAAGTTAGTTTCCCAGATGTTGACACATTACTTAAAACTGAATGTAAGTATACAGCACAGAATTGAAATAGTCATTAGGAGGCCGGCTCATCACCAGTGTAGCAAAGTTGCAGTATTAACAATATAATTTGTCAACTGTAAAAAACATTGATAGCCTATAAATTAATTTATGTAAAAATTATATTTTATATTAAATGTATTTAATAATGACATATTGTATTTACTATTTAATAATGACAAAGTGATTAATATAATTATAAATAGTTTAATTTTGCGGATACAATAGATTGAAATGTTAGTTCTTCAACCTTTTTTGCCTTAAATTTCATGCAATATATAGCTTAAGAGCCTTTGATGAAATTGATATAAAATGAAAGTATGTCAATTTATATTTTATAATATAGGGCCTACTATTATGTATGGCAGGGGCGGATCCAGTTTCTGAGGTGACTGATGCCTAAGACCTCGCATTTGTAGGGGGGTCCGGGGGTATCCTCCCCCGGGAAATTTTGAAATCTAGGACCTCGGAAATGCGATTTGTTGCGTTCTGAGCGAACTTTTTTGTTCCAATTCATACATCAGAGTCACAAAATTATTCGCTGCATTTTTGGGAAGCACGTAAAAAACTTGAACCTATATCGTAAAAACAACATAATTTCTCTATATAAGAAAACAATATTTGCTTGTACAAGTGTAATAGCAGCAGTGGTACATAAGTCTCTATTGAAAAATAGTCAGTACTGTGCTTCTTGTAGCCTTAACTTTTCTATTGAAAAATATTTCGGCAAAAAATCACGAGCAACGCAAATACACACATGCGTGTAATAAAGGTGTATACAGCGTGATCCACTAGTTGCATTGCTAGACTCAGAAGGGAGTGTTATTGTGTTGTTTTTTAACCACCTTCCATTATTAGTTTCCACTAATTTCCAATGTTCCATGCATGCCTGTAGAAAGTAGGAAGTTATGGAGCGACGCTACCTCCAAAGTCTAAAGGGCTAACTCCACACCAAAATATACACTTGAGTAACTTGTGTAATTCAAGAGTTGAAATATGAATTCTGGAGTTACTGGCTAACTCCAAAAATCATTTGGAGCTAAGTATACAACTGCAAAAATAATTTAGGAGCTAGGCATCTAAGCCTGGAGTTACTGGCTAACTCCAATAATCATTTAGAGCTACGTATAACTCCAAAAATCATGAAAAAACAAGGTATTTAAGCCTTGAGTTACGCCTAACTCCAAAAAGTATGTGTATAGCGAGGCGAGTCAGCCTATAGCCGCTAGAAACATACATGTAAGGTTGAAGTTACTTGCTGTGTTGCTAACTCCAAAAATAATTTGGAGCTTGTTATCTAAGCCAGGAGTTACTGACTAACTGGAATAACTGCAAGAACTCTCAGAATGCACTTCTATATTCCGCTGTATTAAATAAGACTGAAATACCCACAATATGCGCATAAACATGATATTGACACACTTGGCATTTTGTTCTCGTTCAGAGGCTACATTTTGATCTGCAGTTGACTGTTGAGGCAAACCCATTCTCGTACACCGCGTCCTTGTCATGCTCTGTTGATCGTGTGTAAGGCGGGCTCTGGGTACGAGAATGTGGCATAGTCTAGCTCCATTTAAAGATTGGCTACCTCCACAAAAATAAAATCTACAGGTATGGTTCCATAAGTAAAATCTTCTAGCATTAGAATGGTGCATAAAGGTATTTTGTGCTCTAGTGGGTAAACTTATTTATATACAACTCTGTCTTATGCTGCTAATCTTACTCTGTATGGACAGTGTGGTTGACATCAGTTGGTCGATTTCATTAAATTCATTCACCCATAGCTGCCTTTGACATGAACTGCATGGTGAATAGAGATCGGAAGAGC